AATTATATATGGTAATATTTCTTTATTTAAATGTATCAAACTTAGGTAATTCTGACAATAAATTCGTACTTTTATAATGATTACCAAATTTAATTCAAGGAAATTTTAATAAAGTGATTTGGTTATACTTTTAATAAAATAATACCTTACAAATTTAGATGGGAGAAGGGGAGGTGGCTTTGTAACCTTTGCTAATGCTACCAAAGATGCCAGTGAAATCTAACCTTATATACCAATGTTACAATAATTTCAAAACAATCAAAATTACAATATTTTATCATTAGACATTTAGTTTAAGAAAAATGACCAACACCAATATTATTATTGTCTTATACCTAGAATCTTCTCTATATTGACAAATTCAATCTATTTCCTTGTATATTAATAAAGTTCTGATTATTGACATTAAGGTAATAAATTTTGTTATTTCCCTTTTAAGTAGTACATGAAATTATATGATATATGGGTCAATAGCCCTCAAATTGCATAGGTTCATTGGTCTTGATTGATTTTTTTGTCAAGTGGTCAAAGGTCAATGTCACATTAACCTGTTAGATAACAATAGCTGTCGGTAGGACACCAACGCTTGACTATTCTTTGTGGTTGATAGTAAAAGAGCCTTGATAATGTAAAATTTTCTAGGTTACAAAAAGGGCAAAAAATTTCTTTAAATCGATGTAACAGTTATAGGCCTTGAAGAAAGTCCTATTATGCTCTCAAAGAAGAGTATAAAATTTCAAAGCCAGATGTCAATAGAATATGAAAATATCTGAGATGGTATGCAAACTTAAATGTAAATTCTAAGTTGAAAAAGGGGCATTATTCTACCAAATGCTTCATAGAGTTACCCCCTCCTGTCTACAGGTTGGGTCATGATGGTAAACAAGTTTGCAAAGTTTCAAAGCCATATGTCAATGGACTTTGAAAATATTTGAGGTATAACAAAAACTTAAATGTAAATTCTAAGTCGAAAAAGGGGCATAATTCTGTCAAAATGCTTGATACAGTAACCTCCTCCTGTCTACAGGTTGGGGTCATGATGGTAAACAAGTGTGCAAAGTTTCAAAGTCATTTGTCAATGGACGTTGAAAATATTTGAGGTATTACAAAAACTTAAGTAAAACATAAGTGGTTACCCCGACGTTCGATGACTACAATAGCTCTTCTTATTCTTATCGAATAGTCGAGCTAAAAAGGGTTTCCGATCAATAACTTGACAACCCATGGGGTATTGGCCCTCAAACTCCGTGTGTGCATTGGTCTTGGCAAGTAGATGACTGCTATTGATTTAGGGGTCAATGGGTCAATGGTCAAGGTCTCTGTAAATAAAAACATTAATCAGACTTCTATTGTAATCATTGTTGAGTACAACAAAATATAAACAAAATGTCATATCTTGTCTTGGAGAAAAAGAGTTACTGTTGAAAATCTAAGAATTGTATTACTACGGTCAGTTAACATTTAACAAGGTGATAATGTCGTCGGACTGTACAATGGTATCAGGTAGTGAAGAGGTTAAAAGTGATAAGATCACTAATCCATAAAAAGGTACAAGAAAAATGGTTTCCTGCGTGGAACATTTTTAATGATACAAAGATATTTCATTGAACTATTTTCAACATTGTTTGTGTGTGTGTGTGGGGGGGGATAAACGTTTGTGTCAGGGATATGGTTGACAATAATCGATCAATATAGAAGAAGGTCTTTGGAAACTGGTGACCGTTGAAAACCGGAGAAGGTCGAACATAAAACAATTATTTCTTTTTAAGAAAATGATTAAATAGGCATACCAGTTTATGAATAATAAAGTAAACAAACAAGTTTATGCAGAAAATATCTCTATTTATTGCGGCAGATGCCACTACGAATATTTTAATTTTGTAGAATTTCAGTATCAACAATTTATTGTTTGTAAAATTTGAGATAGATTTTAAAGAAACATTGATAATTTTCAAACACATCATTCAAGTTTTTCCACCTGAAACGGTAAAATAATTATAGAAAATTAGAAATATAACGTAACAGTTTTTTGTTCTTTTTTGTAATTCGGACTAATTCCCTAGAGGTAAATCCGTAACGTACCGGCAAACGGTATTTAGCTAGGTTTTCGAAAAGGTTAATTAACCAATCATGTACGGTTTACAGATCACATGCTTCCCCATGTACCAAAAACAGGTCACGTGCTCAACCATGCCTCAAAAGTTAAACGCGTACCAATACCCTGCGGTCTCCAGACCGCAGGGAATAAAGCCTCGGAATGATAACAGGTGGGATATTCCGATAACGGAGCAATCGCAATTTCGTCGAGGTTTTCGAGTATAAACGGAAGCGGTGCATGAATTACCGAATGATACCTTTAACAGAAAATCTTGACAGACAATATTTCTTGAGGTTACTCGGTGAAACAATCAAACTGCAAACACCCAATCGAACGTCCTCAGCTATTATTCATATTAACATCGGAGTTAATATAGATTGTAAGAAAGAGTTAATGTAAACTTCAATAATGAAAAACGAATGTATATATATGTATTTGACATGCAAAGGAAACTAAAGTCTGTTTCGGTACAATTCAATCGCAACTTTTCGGCCCTTTTCGTCAGTCTTCGGATAAGGACCTCGAACTACACAGAACGGATACAGTATAACCTACGCTAAGAACCTAGACATGTAAACAAATAATAATTTAATGCTAGTAGTTGTTGACAAGTTTATTTCCAATATATCAAGTGACTAGTTAATTCCCACCTAAAATAATTCATAAATACAAAAGCAAATAATACATAATTTGTATATATATTACTATGGTTGTAGAAACTGAAAGTAAAAACAAGAGCGATCAGTAATCACATGTGTCGCCTCATGATGGCCAATTTCATGTTGGGACAAATTTTGTGACAGACGGACAGACAGACGGACAGTGCACAACTAGACTTGGTACTGATCATTCCTGTAAAGTTTGGATAAAATTGCAGTAGTTTATGAGGAGTAGTCCGGACAAGCTTTTGCTTATCTGGCAACACAAAGAAAAAAACACCTTTTTATCAAAGGGCCATAACTCGGCCAAAAATCATTCAACCGAAAAACCCGTGCAATATGCGCAAGGACTTGAGCTACAGATCAATCCTGTAAAGTTTAATTGAAATTGCATTAGTGGTATAAGAGAAGTAGTCCGGACAAACTTTAAAAATAAAAATTATTAAAGGGCCATAACTCTGACAAAAATCATTGAACCGGAAAAAGCTGACAATATGCACAACTAGACTTGGTACTGATCATTCCTGTAAAGTTTGGATGAAATTGCACCAGTAGTTTATGAGCAGTAGTCCGGACAAGCTTTTGTGTATTTGGCAACACACAGAAAAAAACACCTTTTTGTCAAAGGGCCATAACTCGGCCAAAAATCATTCAACCGGAAAACCCGTGCAATATGCGCAAGGACTTGAGCTACAGATCAATCCTGTAAAGTTTCATTGAAATTGCATTAGTGGTATAAGAGAAGTAGTCCGGACAAACTTTAAAATTAAAAATTATTAAAGGGCCATAACTCTGACAAAAATCATTGAACCGGAAAATGCTGACAATATGCACAACTAGACTTAGTACTGATCATTCCTGTAAAGTTTGGATGAAATTGCAACAGTAGTTTATGAGCAGTAGTCCGGACAAGTTTTGTGACGGACGGACAGACAGACGGACAGACAGACAGACAGACAGACAGACGGACAGACAGACGACGGAGAAGTGATCCCTATATGTTGCCACTACTCAGTAGAGGCGACACAATGATTGTCAGTCATATTTTCAAGCATAATACACGGATTGACAGTTTCCAAACTAGCAGACGACAGGCTATTCTTATCAGTAACGATTGAGTATCTCACTGTATGAAACGTATGTAAAATGGTCTGACTTGTGGTAGGTTTAACCGTAAATTTCAATACCTTCAGTGTCAAACAATGTGTTGAAATATATACTGAGAGGAAGCTAAGATCAAAAATTTTTATTAGTGTAATAAATTTTATATCGGACATTAAATCGACCCAAAAATGCGGTTTAAAAACGGCTACAATTACATTGTTTTAGCATAAGAGATATTGATTTTACTTTTCGAAGATAAGGGAAACAACTCGTGTTTTTTTCACTCGATATACCTCGGTTATTTACATAGTTCATATGGGTGTATTGTACCGAAACAGACTTGATTTTCTTTTAGATGTCAATTATATGTACATTCGTTTTACATTATGAAACCACGTGGTAGAACTACTTTCACTCCGCATTGTTTCCGAGGTTATTATAGATAATAGCCGAGGACTTTCCGATTGGGTACAATTATATTGAAAATATGTCTGAAAACCATTTTTTATTCAAACATGACAAAAATAATGTTAAGGGTAAGGGGGATCTTGCATAATTTCATTATCACATTTGTACAGACTCAGTCAAACCAATCTACAATTTTCATGACATTAAGTTGTGATTAACTCTTATCTAGATTTTTAACTCAATTAAATAATATTAATATATTTATTTTAAGAATTTATGATAGAGCTTTTCTTTAACAGAAATTATAACTTATATCAAAAAAGTGAAAGATACCATTGAAAATACATTAAGTTTAGAATAATCTTTTATATTGAAAAATTAAGCATGTACACATTGTTGACGTGATCAGTAAATCATTTAGATATCAAATCTAAAATTGTTGAAAGCAGTGCATCATGTGAACTCCAGATATTTGTCATTTTACAGATTTTACCACTAATTCTCATTGTTTTCACTTTTAAATACTTTTTTTCAAAACTTTGTTTTGTTGGTATTTCATAACATTAACTGTTATTATATATCAGCAGACCGCCATTTTGTTTTGTTCTTTATATATTATAAATTATAAATTAATACTAAATCCTGTTATAACTTAAGATAAACATTGAAGTTTAAAGAATTGACGTAACATATCTTATTATTTAAGACATAAATCAAACAAAAAAACTTACCTTACTTTTCATTACCTGTCGAAAAGTATTTTCCTGTTCACTTGTTTCTATTTTTAACTATCCGTAAGAGGTATTCATTATGAGTCAATTTGTAATTTAAAGAAAGTATACAAAGAAACAGCCCTTGTCTTCTATCTTCTACAATTAAAAATGCAATAAGGGTCATTCATTTAAGTAATTTGTGAGACATAACTCCACATTGTATTTTTGTCTTTTGGATCAATGAAGTGAATACAAACAATAAGACGCATTACATGGGGCTAAATATAGATTTTAAATTTAAAGTTAAGATAGCTTCCGGGTAAATGGGTTATACCCGACCCTATCAAAATCAATTGGGTATTTAAAATTTTCATTTGAGTATTAATACAATTTTTACACCATGTTTCAAAATTTAATTGAGTAATTAATAACTGAATTTAAATATTGTCTTCCTCAAGCATTAAAACCTCGCTTGTGTTTCGTGAAATACAAATTCATTTTCGCTATCAGTGAGAAATGGGTTTCCAATAAAGAGTTTTCTGTACTTAGTGGATGATAAGGCCTGGTTTGCAAATATATATACTCTTCAGTTAAAAAAACAGAAAGTTCATAATTTCTGTATGTAATGTATTGATTGATGATATGTTGATATGTTTGTATATTACTTATAACTGTTTGATCAAATTTAATATAAGGAATATATAAGTACTTGAAAAAATTGCTGGTACTGAAATTGTTATAACGTTATATGATTATTATAACAACTGAATTATAATTGATTGTTACAGGAGATATATATATTTGCTGAGTGTAGAACAAAAGCCCCCCCCCTCCCCCCCCCGGACGAAAGCCCGAAAATGATCTTATGTTGACATTTTAAAAAAAAAAGCAAAAAAAATAAATAAAATAAAATCATTGTTTATTACTTGTATCAAAAATTTATTGTTTTGTAAGATGTATAATTTATTATATTACAAACATTGTAAATAAAGATATATGTCATAAGAAATTTACGTCAACACATAATTTTTTCTATATATCTAACATAAGTGATCAACAATTTTCACTATAACATTAACTTAACAGCAGATCATACTATAAGTTTAACTGGTCAGCATATTGTACTAAAGCCAACTGATTCCGCTGGTGGACAAAGTGTTTCAATGTTAAAAAACACATCTATCCATTTTATTTATTCCGGAACAATTCTTACTGTATATTTTTTTTAAGGGAAACATGCAAAGTTCGAATAACCAACTCCCTGCTGGTGGGTAGTGGGGGATTAAGAATAACCAACTACCTATCAAATTGACGCTTCTTTAGATTTTTTTATCACTATTTAAGATGGAGCAATCTTTGATGCTTGGTGAACATAGCGCTTTTATATTTCTTAAAGATAGTAAATAAATATGATTAAATAAAAAAAAAACATTAAAGATATACTAGATTTCTGTGTCCACTTGTTTTATATATAGCCAAAGTGATTTTAGCTCAACCTTGAGAAACTGCTTATGAACAGAGGAAAATGATATTTGCAGTGAAGTACTAATTTATTTTGCAATGTTAGTAAAAATTGGTTTATGGTTTATGCCATATTTTCTTCTTATACTATATGGTCAGCAGACTTAACGTACGGTGCTTTAGGTACACATTTATAATAGAATCTGCCGACTAGTTAACCCATTACCGCATAAGCATTTTGTGAAAAAATGGTTGTTTTCATTTAAAAAACCCCTGTTACACAAGTTCAAATTGCTATGAAACTATAACGTCAGTGGTTCTACTCAGGTACCCGTTCGTGCCCGAAATAATGCACAGAAGGGCACCTGAGGTCTTCCTCCATCAGTAAAACTGGAACGTCGCCATATGACCTATACTGTGTCGGTGCTACGTAAAACCCAACCAATCAATCAATCAATCTATAAAAACTATAAAAAAAAATGCTTTAATACTGATCAAACTTGGCACAAATGTTTACTGAGTCATAGCATTTGTATCTTAATTTCCTGTTACAATGACAACGAGGGGACATTTCAAAATCACTATGTTGTGTTAATTTTTTCCATCAAAGCTGCAACTTCCCGATGGGTCGGGATAGAGTGAATGGCTTTCAGCGTTGGTTACACGTTACCTTAAGATCGACCTGATGTCATTTTGAGCCTCTCACAAGTCGAAATTTTTCTTGGAGTTGAGTGGGGCGGCAGTCCCCCTTCAAACCCCCCTGCAGAAGAGGGCACCCCCCTCTTTTGCACCCCGATGTATCTGATAAATAGGGCATGGTTTTCACTATTTGAGGCATCAAAAGGGAGGAAAGGCATGAAAAGGCATGAACACACGTCTATATGAGGTAAAAGGTAAAACATATAGTAAAATATGTTGACCAGTTTCACTTACAAGGACAACAGTTGACCAATTAGATATCTAGAAAAATATGTTATTTTTCCAGCATAATGTTAGTAAATATAATAGATTCTACATCTCGCAAACCAATCCAACCACTGCTGAGAAACTAAAATATAAAAGAAATAGCTTGTGTGTTTTTTTTTTGTTTTTTTTTTGTTTTTTTTTTTTTGTTTTTTTTTTTTTGCCGTATTTTCTTCTTATTCTATATGATCAGAAGATTTAACGTCGCATCAGAAGATTTAACGTCATGCGAAAAAACTGCTGACCACTTAAACGTAAGTAGAATCTGCAGACCAGTCAAACATATAGAATAATCTGCTGACTTATAGTTAAATTTATAGTGAAAATTACTGACCACTTATATTAGATATACAGAGAAAATTTAGTTTAACATACATTTCTTATTGTTTCACACTGTTAGTATATATAATAAATTCTACATCCTACAAAACAATAAAGCCACTGATGACCAATCAAAACAAGAACCGGTTGATTCTCGGGTGATGCTCCCCGAGAAGGTTCTGGACACAGGAAAGTATAAAAAAAAATGAACAAAGGGCAAAACTCCAAAATTAGACAAGGCAGAGTTATGTTTTGTTTGCACTGTACTTATATTCAATGAGATCTATCTATCTATAAAGTTTCCTGATGATATCTCATAGTTTCAGAGTTATGTCCCGGGTAAAATTCAAAGTGTAAAAATGAACAAAGGGCAATAACTCAAAAATTAGACCAGGTTTTGTTTAGGTTCTTTAAGCATTGCAGTTCTATCCAATGATATCTAGCTACCTACAAAGTTTCATGTTGATATCTCTAATAGTTATAAAAATATGTCCCGGACAAAAGTCAAAAAGTAAAAATAAACAAAGGCAATAACTTCAAAATAAGGCAAGGCAGAGTGATGATTATTAAGCAATGCACTTCTTCCCAATAAGACCTATCTATCTACAAAGTTTCATATCTCTAATAATTAAAGAGTAATGTCCCGGACAAAGTTCAAAGTGTTAAAATGAACAAAGGGCAAGAACTCCAAAAGTAGGCAAGACATGCAAACATACTTAATGAGATCTATCTACCTACAAAGTTTCATGTTGATACCTCTTATAGTTTTAGAGTTATGTCCTGGACAAAGTTCAAAGTGTGAAAATAAACAAAGGGGAATAATTTAAAAAATAGGCGAGGCAGAGTTACGGTTCTAGTGCACTGCGCACCTACTCAATGAGATCTATCTACCTACAAAGTTTCATGTTGATACTTCTTATAGTTTTAGAGATATGTCCCGGACAAAGTTCAAAGTGTTAAAATAAACAAAGGGGAATAATTCAAAAATAAGGCAATGCAGATTTACGGTTTTTGTGCACTGCACACCTTCTCAATGTGATCTATCTACCTACAAAGTTTCATGTTGATACCTCTCATACTTTTAGAGTTATGTCCCGGACAAAGTTCAAAGTGTAAAAATAAACAGAGGGGAATAATTCAAAAATTAGGCAAAGCAGAGTTACAGTTCTTGTGCACTGCACGCCTTCAAAATGAGATCTATCTACCTACAAAGTTTCATGTTGATACCTCTTGTTGTTTCAAAGTTATGTCCCGGACAAGAAAAGGGAGGGACGGACGGACGGACGGACGGAAAGACGAACGGACAAGGCGGCGACTATAAGCTCCCCCGAAATCTTTCGGGGAGCATAAATATAATAGATATAGCAGTATTTTTTTATATTAAACAAAGCCGACAAATTAGATTTATCATGAACTATATTTATAGTTAAAGAGAAAACCTATGAATTAGAAATGAATTGCGTATTTTCATTTACACTGTAAAATTTGTTCTTGGCTGCAGTGAAACATATTTTCCGTATTTTCACTTGTATCTTGCCGGAGCACTTTCTTCTAGATTCAGCCGATATGCAAAAATTTAAGGCTATGACCACTGGCGCTAGTCACATAATCAAATATTTTACATAACCGGTCTATATATGTATATAAATCTTATTATAGTATATAGCTCATATAAAACTTTAAAATGTTTGTTTCAAGCACCTGTGGCTAAGACTATCAAATTGTATCAGTAATGTTAAAAATAGAAAAAAGTACATGTATATAATAATAGCGCAACTCATGAAATATTTATGTTCATACCACTCGATAAAAATAAATCCTGCATTAAAAGAAAAAATAATAGAAAAAAACTTGAATATCCTCGATGTACTACTGACGCCTATAATATTTTTTGCATCTTTTAAATGTCAACATAACATCATTTCCATCTGAAATCTTTCGACTTTTTTTAAGTTTCACACAGTTTATTACATTTTCGTGTATTTTATATAAGTATTTGCCCTATCTAAGAATTTAATTCAATAAAATATCGATTTTTGGCAATAATTGTCCCCTATGTTTTCATATAAAATGTTACTTTTTTATTAATTTATAATTTTATTTCGACGTTTTCAGTATACAAAAAAAGAAACAAAAACAAACAAAAAAGGAAAGAATACAAAAACTAGAAATGTGTCCATAGGACACGGGTGCCCCAACCGCGCCACTGTTCTGTCAATCTTATGACTCTAGGTCAAATATTTTTTGAAAACTAAAATTTTTTTACTAATTGAAGTAAAGAGCAAGCACTTTACAAATACTGAATAAATCCCAAGCAAACCCAAAGGTGCATAAGTACACATGCTGACCAACATTCTTGTAAACTTTCAGGCCTACAAGTGAAATATTTTTTGAGCTATGCATGAACAAGTTGAAAATTGCAAATTTATACTACTGTAAGTCAAGGGCAATAACTCTAACAAAACTGAAAAAAATCCACATGCAAAGTCCCAGGTTCATAGCTCT